TTTACCCATTCCTGAGGGCATGGGTGGGGACGCTTAGGACCTGGGTAAGACTTGGATGCCTGCCTGCTCCCCCCCCCCCCAGGAGGGGTGACAAAGCCCAAAGCACAGCCTAGGACCCCTGGGGCACCACTATCCCCAACATCCTGTCCCTCAGGGCATTCTTTGCAGGCGCAGGTGGGGGGTCCGAGGCCCCTACATCTCTGGGAGATGAAGTCCACAGACATGTGGGCTGCGCAGACCCGTGGCTTCTGCCAGGTGCATCCAGGCGGGTGGCCCCGCTTGTGCCCAGGTAGAATGCTGTCCTCACCTGCTTCCTGGGCTGTCCCTTCCGCCTGCTGCTTCAAGTCCTTAAAACTCTTGCTGGCCATAGCTTCCAGGGGTATGCGGGGTAGTCAAAACCTCAGACACACAGACCGCTGGAGTTTGCTCGCCGCTCTGAAGACTGGTGCGCTAGTTTGTATTTTTAAAGCGTCCCAGGGACGGCCCACCTCGCTGGGGGGCGGGGGGGTGTGCATGGGCGGTTCCCGGCTGGCTGGCGGAATCCTGGCATGATCCCGCCCTGTGCCAAGCTTCTCTTGAGGGGCGGGGGAGGGAGGTTGGGAGAGAGAACAGAGGACATGCTTGCCCCTGGGTACCTGCAGTGGGAAGGCTGCCACTAGAACCAGACTAAGAAGAGAGACTAGGTTAAGGAGTGACTGGACAGGAGAGAGGCACATACACCTTCTCTCATCCAGGCAGTCCGACCTCACCCTCTTCAATCCTGGGGATCCCCCGCTTGATGAGCCTGAAGTCAGTGTCAAGATGGGAGCTGGATACCGAAGCCAACATTAATAATAGCAGCTGGCTTCTATTAAGCATTTATCTTGCGCCAGGAGCTTCCTTAATGTTTTACAATCTCTTGTATAATTTTTACACCACCTGGTAAAATAAGTGTTATTAATAGCATCAGTTTATAAGGGAAAACTGAGGCAGATAGAGGGTGAATAGATTTTACCCAAACCTCTGTGCCAGGACTCTAATCTGGGCTGGTGTGCTTTGAACCCCCCCAACCACACCCCCCACCCCTCCGCCCTGGCAATCACGGAACCTTTTGTTCCCACACACCAGGGTGGTGCTGCAGACTGGCTGTCTGCTCTGGGGCTTCTGGTTGCAGACTGGAGAGGATTCAGTAAAGATCAACAAGAAGAGGAGCAATTGGCATGAGCACTTGCAAAACGAGCAGCCCCAAGTAAAGAGTGAGGAAGCTGCCCCCTTGTGTCAGCTGGAAAGGAGATTGTCACAGGTCACCAAATTTTGACCAGTAGAGCAAGTAGCGCTGCTCAGGGTCTGCTCACTTTCCAAAAAAGTCCAGGGACTTGAGGATCTCTTGGGGCACTAGAAGTCAGGAAGCTGCGTCTGAGTTGGGGAGACAGGATTCCAGAAACAGCAACACATATCCATCCCCCACTCTAGAGGCATAATGAAGCCCCCACCCTCCCCAGCACACTCTGGTCACACACATCCCACTGCCCCCTCTCCAGGTCTAGTGTTGTGACCTTCACTAACTCTTTCTCTGCACACTTGGAGTTGCTCTTAGATTTCTGGGAAGCCCCTGCCTACCCAGGCCACTGTGCTGTCTTATATCCTCCTTGTAGCAGCAGAGGGTCAACCACTGGCCTGGAGTGTCTGGAAGCCCAAATGTGCATATGCATGTGCAGACACACACACACACACACACACACACATGCAGACACACACACAAAGTATAGATTAAAGACGATTAAAACACTAGGCAAGAGAAAGGGTCAGGTGATGATTAGTGGGGGAAGGGAGAGAGCACATAATGCCCCATCCCTACCCCACCCCCTTCACATACATAAGGTGTTACAGGGAGGCAATCCCCTAGGCAGTGGTGGGGGACTTCTGGGAGCTCAGCCCAGCCTCTGCCTCAGCCTTTCCAGCCCTCCTGAAACCCCTCCCACAACACCATGTCTTTAATCTGGAAGGCCCTTGTCACTGGGCTGGGCATCACATGGAAGCAGATCCTGTTTGATACCCAGTCTCAGCTCCTGTGAGTAGCAAGCAAAACACGAAGACAGCAGCTGCTGTCCGGAGGGCCAGCCAGCCTTCAGAGGTGATGCAGAGACCGCTCAGTGTGGCTGTACAGCATCAGGCACTGCAGTCAGTCCTCTTGGGCTCAGAAACCCCTAGGACAAGTCTCTTTACCTCTTTGAGCCTCTGTGTTCCCAACCTTGAAGAGAAGACACTAACACAATCTTCCCAAAGTATTTTTGTGAGGATTAAATGGGTTGGAGTGTGCCTGTTACCGAGCCCAAGTCCATCTCCTTGCCAAAAGAGGGGCCCAATGAAGGTAGGACAAATTGTTGGGTAAGGAAAAAGATTTATTTGGAATGCCAGCAAAATTAGAAGATGGTAGTCTAGTGCCCTGGGCGGGAGGCGGGGAGACCATCTTAGCATAAGTTTCAAACTCTTCTCATCTCTAGGCAGGGGGGATAGAATGGGGTCTTAGGTTAGGATTGATGACTGAAGACTTCTAGACACCTCTCCAGTGGTCTAGAAGGTGTTGTTGTGAAACCTGTGATTGGCACACACATAATCACAAGATCATGGTGCCCCTATAAATCTTGAAAATATTACTCTTAAATTGGTGTCTTCAGACCTGAAAGGGGAGAAGAGGGATTAGGTAAATTTGGGGCAAATTGATTTTCACTGTTAATCCCAAACATTCCTTAAGTGACTAATATGTGTATGCAGAGTTAGAGTCTGACCCCAAGGCCAAGGAGACACACAATATGGAGGCAGAAATGCCAAGACTTTTCACCCTGTTTTAGTCACCCATCTGACACTGGCAAGGTTTCAGCAAAAGTGCTTTGCAAGTCCCTGAAAAGTAGACTCAGCCACTGCCATCATCATAACCCTCATGTCAGAGGTGTCATCTACAGCAAAGCTAGTGCAGGACTAATTATATACTACTCAGCTGAGTGACCTACAGAATTTTGATTTTTTTTTCAAAATTAGTGATTTTTAAAGCCAACTAAAGACAAATGAATCTAGGGGGTTCATTTAGATTTTCCCTTGGGTACATGCCCAACTCTCAGTGGAGGGCCTTGTAAGACAAGGCAGGGCCAGGGGCCTCTCAGACAAGGAGAGGCATAATGCAAGAATAGTGCTCTTCTGGAGAAGACAGAAGCAGCTTCTAAGGGCCCAGAGCACATGACAGGGCATTTAAAAGCAAAGAGTACTGCAGGTGTCCCTCAGGTGGGGAAGGAGCTTGCTGGAATAGGCTGACCTTGATGTTTGGCACTTGAGTCCAGGACAGAACCTCCGAGTGTGTGTGTGTGTGTGTGTGTGTGTGTGTAGCATCAGCAGGGACACTTCCAGACTGCTTACGCAGATGTAGAGGGGCACTGGGAGGGAGTCCCATGGAGGCTGTGCCCAGGGATCTGGTCTAGGTATCCTCTCTCCCCACACCCAGTCACCTGAGCTCAGCTTGCTCCTCCTTGCTTTCCCTTACAGTCCAGAGAACTCTCAAACACACCCAGGCCCCTGGGGCATGCACAGGCCTGCTCATATGCCTGTGTCTGAACCAGACAGCAGGAACACCACTGCCTGCCCAGAGCCTCCCCCAGACCCTTCACTACTGCCCATGGGACCAGCAGCCTCTGCTCCTTTCTGCCTCTTCAGCAATGGACATCCGTGACCAGCTGACCAGGAGTCAGCCTAGCTCAGCTGTATCTGACTGACTCCCATCCCCCTGGGCTGCCCTTGACCCTGACCCCTGTTGCAGAGGCAGTATAGACAGGGTAGTGTCTGGAATGATGTGTGGCCTCCAGCTCTTACTCTGAAACCAAGGACCAGAGGCTTAGGGAAAGTCACTTCAAAGCTTGAAGTTTAAATTGGCTATCAAAGGAGAGAGCCAGGTTCCCAAAGAATAAGACCCCAGGCAAAGTGGGACAGTGGGACACTGACCAGCCTGGTGCTGGGGTCGCTTTGAAAACTTGGGGGGCGGGGACTCTGCCAAGAGCACCCCAGAGCCCAGGCAGTCTCACTGTTCGTAGCAGAACAAGGAATCAATGGGGTGCCCCTGGGGCAAGGCCCCTGGTTTGTGCCCAGTTTCATTGTTAGCTTTTACTATTTTTCTCTCGAGGTGTGGCTCAATCTGATGCACTTTAGCTGTCATGTTGTTTAATGACACCTGACAAGTTTCTGGGTGCAGGAAAAGAGAGCCTAACCCTAATTTTGGTGGGGAGCTTATGACTGGCTGGGTTCGGGTGGGAGGTCACCTCATGGCTCTGCTGGGGTAGGAACTGTCCGTCCTTTGTGTTTAAGCTTTGAAAGTTACCCTCTGCTCCAGGGAGGGTATCAGGTGTCCCTATTCCTTCAGGACAGTTGGTGCTAAAGACATATGCAGCATCCTCAACTCCAGCTGACCTCAGGTTCTTCAGCAACGCTGAGTAGGCTGGTGGGTGGGGTTCCCCCTAGGGGGAGCTGCAGCTCAAGCTGGGGACATCCAGCCCTGCACACTTGGACAGTGTGAGATGCCCACTGTGGGGAGCTGGAGGAGCCGCTGCCATCATGCTAAAGGGATGGCTGTGTATGTGTTTGGGGGATGGTTCCCGAAGGCAACAGTTCCAGAAGCACTCTGCGTATCCCCATAGTGTACCTGGTCCCATCAACCTAGTTCCTGTCCCTGAGACCTCCCAGGGGGCTTCATGAACAATAACAGAAAAGAGAGGAAGCATGGTGGGGTGAGGCTCAAGTTTTATTTGAAATCATTAAAAAAAAAGAAAAGAAAAAAAATCACAGCAGCATCTGTTCTGTGGGTCCAGAAGGCTCAGGGGGCCAGAGAGGATGAGGGTAGGAGGTGAAGTCGGTGGCAGCAGCATAGAGGACAGGTCTCTGACAGCTGGGCTTGGGTGCGAGGAGCGTGGGCAGCCCGCTGGGCACGCTCCAGGGCAGGGCACACTCCAGGGCAGGGCACTCCTTATGCCAGGGGGGAAGGGGGTTCAAGGCAGAGGGGTGTCCCTCGGGGACTCTGCAGCCATCTGGCAACATTTTAGTTTCCGCCACTCTTGGCCTGGGAGAGAGAGTGTGACTCTCACACCTGCTCCAGGTCCCCAACACTCAATGGCTGCCCTGGGACGGTCACTCATGAAGGAATCTCTCACTCCAGACCAAGGTTGGCTCTACCCACAGTCCCTGTTGGGGGCTGCAGAAGGCTCCCTGACAGGTTCTGAAACCCCCGGAGGGAAGCAGGAGTCTGTGGGGGCTGGGGTCCCTACCCAAGAACCCCCCCAGTGTGCCCCTGGAGTCCAGTGCCTACCTCCTCAGCCACTTCTTCCTCTTCGGCTGCCTGGTCCTCCTGTTTAGGGGCAGGTTGGTCCAAGTCCTCCTGCAGGAGATCAAAGAGGACATGAGGCAGGGTGCTGTGGCATACGTCTGTAATCCCAGCAGCTTGGTAGGCTGAGGCAGGAGGCTGACAAGTTCAAAGCAATCCTCAGCAAAAGCGAGGTGCTAAGCAATTCAGTGGGACTCTGTCTCTAAATAAAATACAAAATAGGGCTGGGGATGTGGTCAAGTGTCGAGTGCCCCTGAGTTCAATCCCTGGTACCCTCACCCCCAAAAGGGAGACCATAAGGAGGTCACAGAGGCCCCCAGCTACCTGCAGCTAGGGTCTCATCTATGCTGGCCTCAAAGATGATCAGAGGTCCCTACTGGAGGGGCTGGAGGGGTGACAGCCCACAGCTGGAGTTCTGTCTGGTGATGCCAAGACCTTCTGGAACCCAGCTTCATACACCCCAACCTCCGCAAGCGGATCCCAAATCCTGGGTACCCTCTGCTGGGGTTCCTTAATGAAGAAGGATGGGAGCATGGAGAGAGGGTGAGAGTGGACAGATGTTCCTGAATCACATTAGCATACACCTTTGCACTCCTCTGAGTCCCCAAAGAGCCCTAGGAGGAGAGTTGTGTCATCACTGTATACAGGGACCCTGAGACTAGGAGGACTAGGTATCCAGGTCAAGGCCTCAGAGCTCAAAGCAGCGGAGCTAGTCAGCATCAGGTTCAGCTTGCTGTCCATCAGGCCATTTCTGCCCACAGGAGCATGCTCTCTCTTCCTGCATCCTGGACAGGCTCTGGAATCAGGCCTGTTTTCTGTCCCCTATGCCCCATGCCAGTCAGACTCTTGCCTAAGTGGTCATGACAGCTGAGTGCTCAGGACAGAGTGGTGATTGGCCTGGTCCTTGCCCTCAGCTCCTGCCTTTGGAGGGTCCAGCCACTTCTGTGCTACCACATCCTGCCCCTTGGTGGAGTGGAGCATAAAAGGGCACAGAACTTTGTTGGCCAGGGAGGGCCAGGCTCTCTAGGTGAGAGGCAGAGGGCCACCTGCTTAGTCTGACCACTCCAAGGTTGGTGCACGAAGCCTGGGGCATGAGCAGTCACAAGCACTGCAGGCCTCTATGGTTCACTGGGGAGACAAGTTGATACTAGTTTTGGGGTGTCACCAGAAAATGAGTCTCCCTTGAGGCAGCTCCTCTAGGAGGCAAGGAGTGCCTGGGTAAATTCCTAGAGGCCAAACCCAGCCTGACACCTCCCCAGAGGCCTTTTGTGCTGTGGAGTGTGGAGGGGGGCCTCCTTGGATACAAGTGGGTCCAGCCCAGGGCACTGGTGATGATGATGATGATGATGACCACTCATTGGGCTTTAACCATGAACCAGGGAGGCCTACATTCTGGAGGTCATTTCTCTGCCATATCCTACAGCTCAGTGAGAAAGACACTCACTCTCATTTCACAGATGAGGAAATGGAGACCAGACAGGTTACACAGCTTCCCAAAGTCGCACAGCTAGGAAGGGGCAGAGCTGTTGACTAGAAGAGGAAACGGCTGCCCACTCTGGGGATAAGGAGATCCTGTGCTAGCCCTAAAAGCACACATCTGGGTGCTGCTCCTGGAGCCAGGGACAGAGGGCCTGTATCTTTCTACCCCTCCCAGAGCAGGGATCCCCAGTACGGGCTACGCCCAGAGCCTCAGACTCCACTGACTGGGGTGGCCTGAATCAGGTATGGGAGATGGAGACAGCGTGTCTAAGGAGTCAGCCCCGGCCCCACTCTCAGATCCCTGTCATAACCTACACTCTCACAGTCTCTCAGGAGCCAGGCCAGCCATAGAATCACCACCCTTTTGGCACCGTGGGTATATTACCTAATCCCTGGGCCTTGGTTTCCATGACCTATCTCATGGGATATTTGTACCCATTTTTTAAAAAATTTTATTTGTTCCTTTTAGTTGTAGGATATTTGTACCCATTAAATAAGTTAATAAGTGTAAAAAACTTTCAATAGAACTTGCTCTGCGGCAGGTGCTGGGACACCTCATGCAGCTCGCATCTACCTTCTGCAATGCCTCCTGCTGCTGTGCCTTCTGCTGCGGCCCTCTTTCCCATGCACGCTCACACATTGCACGCACATGCACACACACACGCACACACGCATGCCCCCTCATCCTGGCACACACACTCAGCACATGCTGCACATCTGCTCACACACAAAGGACCCAGTGGAGGGTGGGGTCAGAACTGTTACTACTTTTTCACCATCAGGGGGCGATGACTCCTTGCTGCTCCTGGGAGGAGGTGGCAGCCAGGTCTAGGAGAGCAGCTGGACACTGGGTGGTGACTCTGCAGCTCCAACCTGATGTCCACTGCCTGGGAGGCTGCTTATCACCATGTGACCTGTTTTCACTGGTAAAATGTGGTATATCCTCCATGCTGAAAGCCATGGAGCTGGCCTGGTTTGGGGCCTCATTTTCCTTGTCTATAAAATAAGTCCTAACTCTCCAATTCAGGGGCATTTGTGAGGATTCCAGATATGAATGATGTGAGGACACCAAGCACAACCCCTGCACAGACACACAGAGGTGATGAATGGGAAGGAGATTCAGTGCCCAGGTCTGTGAGTAACGTCCTCCACCCCCACCTTGGTTGGCTTCTCTGGACCCAGAGGAAGGATGGGAGCAAGGACTTACCTTGCGCACCACCCCGGTGGTGATCACAACCTTCTCTGCCTCCTCCACGGTCTTGGTGGCCACAGTATTGACGCTGGAGACCACAGCCTCACTCACAGCGTTGGCCTGCTCCTTGGTTTTCTCGGCCACTGTGGGAAGACTGGGGCTGGCCTGGACCCTGACCCTCCCCACCAAGTCAGGCAGAGAGGCCTTTCCCAGAGCACTGGGACTCTGGCTCTTTGGGACCCTCCGATCCCTGTTTTTGACTTCAGGACAGCTTTGACACTCATGGGTGGGAGTGGGAACCTTACCCTGATCCAGTTCAGGTGTGCAGGGATCTGGATCCCCATAGGGATTTGGACCCCAGTTGGTGTAAGGAGGACTTTGGCCATGGGCCCTTAGTACTAGGGTGCAGGAGTGCTGAAGCCCCGTCCCTCATGCCCCTGGTCCTGGGGATCCTCACCTGAGGTCACGCTCTGCACCACATTTTCCTTGGTCTTGGCTCCTGGGAAGGAAATGGAAGCGTCAGCCCAGACCCACCTCTTGGTGTTGGAGGCGGTCAGGACAAAGAAGCCACAGAACAGCTGGACAAGCTGGGGGTCAGTAGAGGGTGTCTGGGGGCCAGCTGCCCCTTCAAAGGACTGCTTCCTGCTATGTCTGGAGCTAGGGGACGGATGGGGAGGAGACAGGACAGGATGGAGGGACAAAAGAGAGTTAGGGACACTGGTGTACCCAGACTCTGCCTGGGTGTGGCCCGGCCTCCAGAGCAGCATGCTGGTCAGGGATGATGAGGGCTGAGTCATTGCCTCAACCTCCCCTGCCTCCTCTTCAGAGGGAGCAGAGGGGCATTGGAGTGGGTTAGGCACTGAGCCAGAGTCCCACCTCCCCTGTGCACCTCTTCACCCTGGGCAGGGAGGAACCTGTGGCCTGGCCAGGCTGCAGCTCCATATGAAGAGGGAGGGAGCTCGCCTAATCACCAACTGCTCACAGCTTCAGGGTGTCCAAGTTCAGAGGACCCTAGGATGTGTTTGTGCATGCCTTGATGAATGCATAGAGAGGCGGTCAGCTGGGTCAGAGGTCTGAGTGGCACTCTGATCCTGTCCTAGAGACCCTGGGGCTCCAAGGAAGCCAGAGGCAAACACTGGTGTGTGCAAGGGACTGTAGATGCTGCAGGATCTGGAGACCCTGCCTCAACAGCCAGGTCCTCGCCCCCTCCCAGAGTGCCTCCCTGGAGCTGGGGAGAAAGGTCCTCCAACCAAAGGTACCAGACATCCCACCCCAGGCACCACACTGCCCTGCCTTGCCCCGCCCTGCCCCGCCCTGCGTCACTCACCCACATACATGACCCCCTCCTTGGTCTTCTCGGCAGCCTCCGTCACCCCCTGCTTGGTTTTCTCCACTGCGCCCACCACGCCCTCCTTGGCGATGGAGAAGCCCTTCTTGAAGACATCCATGTTGAGCAAGAACAGAACCTGACTCTCCCTGCGAGCTGCGGGCTGGAGCTGGCGCGAGTGCTGCCGCAGCCGCTGTCCCCGCCGCCGCTGCCTCTTATTGACGTGGATGAAATATTGATGTCGTGTTGGCTGGCGGGAGCCCAGCCAGCCCAGGCGGGCGTGGGGGTGGGGAGGGTGGAGGGAGGGAGGCCTTCCCCAGGGAGGTACAGCAGGGAGAGGTCCCTGGATCCCTGCTGGCTCAACTGTGCCCTCCTGACCCTTGTCCTCCAAGAAGGGACATGGGGGCTGGACATGTCCTAATTCATCACTGCCCCTCATTCATCGGCTGTCCTGCCCACCTGCAGGCTGCCCTGGCTGGGTGCTATCAGGCCTGGGGCTGTTGTTTTCAGTGCACAAAGAAGGGGTAGGCACTTTAGCCAGTGCTGCAGGGTCGCAGATAGGGCAGGGGTCAGAGCTACTGGCCTGTCAAGTAAGAATGACCCACCTCTAAAGTCAGCCTGGACTACCCAGCTACCCACAGCACCCTGAATGGATGCCCTAAAGCCTGAAACTCCTGCCAAACCAGTTGGAGGAGCTGAGGCCAGGCACACAAGGTTTTTCCCCATGCCCTGGGCTTTGGCTGTGCTGTGTGACCCCAGGATAGCTCCTTTTCTTCTCTGAGCCTCCACCCACAGCCCAGTGGCAAAAGGTGCTGAGGAGGCATAGAGTGCCTCCACTTCCTGGCCAGCAGCATGGGTGGGCAGCAGGGTCTCCCCCGAGACTGATAAACCGCTTCCTGCAGCCCCACCTGGAAGCCTAGGCATTTCTCCTAACTCCCATGGGTTTGTAGGGCCACCCTCTGGGTCTCCCACACTCTAGTGTCCCTAAGCCAAGTCCTCCTGGAGCACAGGAACTGGTCTGCGTGGTTGGCAACCTCTGTGGGGGCCAGGCAGGAGGCGGGGGTGGGGGCGGCGGATGAGACCTACCCGGTGGGCCGGCCCAGGCCACTTCCTCTCTTTGTTGTCCCGTGTTTTCTTTTCCTTCTGAGATTTAACTTGAAGACCACGTCACTAGCAGTTTCTGCAGTCATTTGCCAAACCAGCCCAAGCCTGTCCCACCAGCAAGATGATCCTGACTCTGCTGCTCGGTCTTGGAGGGCCCCTGGGCTGGGGGTTGCTGGGGGCCTGGGCCCAGGCCCCTGATACCGGGTTCTCTGATCCACACCACCCAAGGCTGCCTGGGGTCTGGGGTGCAGAGGCTGAGGACACCAGCAGGGACCCTGTCAGACGGTAAGGAGGGCCTGGACCTTGGCAGAGGTCACTGGGCAGCATCTGAGTCCCAGTTCAGTCAGAGCAGGGATTCTCTGAAGCCATCTGTGAAATGGGCTAATACAATCTACCTGCTGGGCTAGCCATGAGGCTAGGCATCCTTCAAGGTGCTAGGCATCCTTCAAGGGTCTATGTTCAGAAAGCCTGTGTTGGGCACTCCAGAACTTCATCTAAGAATGACAGGGAGACTTGCCTGCCCCATAGCAGGGAATCTGAGCTGGGATTTGGGGGTGGGAGGAACAGTTCCTAACATTGATCACCCAGCATGGGGCACTGAGGGATTGTGATTCTAGTTGTTTCCAGCCAGTGAGGCCGTGGTCCCCGTTCTTTGAAGGAAATCAATTCAGACAACTGAGCCCCAGCAAGGCTGATCCAGCTTAAGCCCTGAGGTATGGCCACTCCTGGGGATAAGGTTTGATCTGAGTGCCCAGGAAGCCTGTCCCTGACTGCCAAGCAGTGAAGAGAGAGGGCTCCCTGCTGCCAGAGCACAAGGAGGCAGGGGCATCCAGAGAGCTCTGCCACAGGGTCCTTCTGGAAATGAGTGTATGGTGTTACAGTCGCACCCCAGACACCATCCTCTAACACTCTATTTGTACAGAGCCAGGGACCCTCCTGCACATAGGTTCTGGTCCTGTGGGTTCCCCTCAGGGTATGAGGTGGTCCTGGAGCCTCATCTCCAGTGCCCCACAGGGCAACAGGTACCATCTGCTGGGCCAGCCTCTGGGCCAGGCATGTTGCCAAGTGTCATCTCCGTTAACTTCTCTAACAGCCCCATTTATAGAGGAGGTGCCCCAGATAAAACAGCCCAGGACAGGTAGAACAGGATCTGCTTTGACTTTCCAGCTCAGAGCCAACCTTCTGAGTGGAACACTAAGATCTGGAAGTGAGGGGCCCAATGCACACACCCACCCACAGCCTTTTGTGTGCATGTATGGAAGGAGCCATCACGTGTGCCTATAAGACAATCTGCCTAGGACAGGTCTTATCCAGCTTCTCCCATTTCTGGGTAACTGTTTGTGGACACTTCTCTGACAGCAGGTTTGGCCAGGGAGAAACAGGAGGGCACGAGTAGGCAGTATATACTGACCCTTAGAGAGGAAAGGGCTGTGGGGAGCAGAAGCCCCAGAAGTTGGATGTGCAGAGACTCCATTTCTGCCTCTCCCCTAGTTTGGCTCAGGGTGGGACACAAAGGTGATTCTTGGTGTGGGGAGTCCAGCCACCCAATTCCAGTTTCAGGACCAAGGACCAAGCCTTCTCTCCTAAGGCCATCAGCTTCATGCCCAGTTTCTCCCTCTCCCTTTGATGAAAAGGAGGATGAGGGGACCAGGAGGAGAGAGAAGGAAACCACTCTTCTTTCTCCCTTTGTTTCTTTTCACAACCCCCTTGGTTGTGGAGAAAGAGAGTGCATTCCCTAAGACCCGGGTAGCAAGGGTCCCTCAACCTTTCCCTGGCTGCTATGAGCAGCTTGGGGGTGTGTGTGCACCAGTTCACCTGGTTCAGGAATGCCCAGGCTTCCCAGGCCTGAGACCCTTGCACGCCAGAGTTTCCTTCCTGCGCCTCCAGAAGCTGCAGACCCCACAGGCCAAGCCCAAGTTGTTGAAGCATCCGGAGGGGTGCTGGGAAAGGAAGGAAACATGCATCTTCCTGGGCTGATTGCTTCCCATGCTCATGCTCCTGTGACTTGGGAGGTGGAAACTATTCCACTCCAGCCAGCAGGGAAGGGGAGGTGGACCGGGCACTTCACTCCAACAGTCCTGAAACAGAGGAGAGGCACCATCAGCGACAAGCCCCTGGCTGCCAGAGCCAGGCCTCGTGCCCTGATTTTGCCTCTCATACTGTTTCCAGAACTCCAGAAACAGGGCAGGCCCCGGACACAGAACCAGATCAAATGCTTTGGAAAGACAAGCTTGAACAGAACTACTCAGTGCCTGATGCCCCCTATCCCCAGATTGCCAGATCCTCCGGTAGAGGAGGGACATGGTTAGCCTGTTCTTAGGTCCCTGGGACCCCACAAGGTCAGGGTAGGGGATCCAGCAACATGAATATTTGGACTCCATGAAGAGGAGGCTCATACCAGCTCCGTGGCTTGGGTGGGGTGTTTAAGAATGTGGGCTCCTTGGACCCTAGTGGGTGTGCTCTAGTCCAAGTAGGGATTGCGGAGCCTGGGCAAGGTATCCCGCTCTCCACAGTAATCATCACAGCTTGGAGGCCTAGGGACACCACTCAGGGCCTCAGGGCTCCTAAGTGATGGGTCAGAGTCAGGTTCCACAACAGCTGGGCTGCAAGCCCCAGGTGTCCTTTATTCTGTCCCCACAAGAGGAGTGGGAGCACAGGGGATGCCTCTCCCAGCCGCCCAGCTGGCCCATCACCAGCCTCAGCCTTCTGCCCATGGGGGGAGTGTTTGGGATTTTTGCAGTGGGATCTGGAGACCCAGAAAAGTCCAATATGTTGCTGGAGGTCCCAGGAGTAAGGTGGGAGCCAGGGTGGCCATGTGTTCCCACTCCTGGATACAAGGCCCTGTGTGGGAACTGGAAAGCACCCCCACTGGTCAGAGCTGACACTCCCAGGCCCACACTTAAGGAAGCCCAGATCCAGGCTGGCAGCCCAGTGGGCTTCACACTTCTCTGTGAAGTCCCCTCTCTGGCTCAGGGACAAAGTCCTTGAGTGTCTCCCCTGGGATGTTCATGCTAATGGCTGGACTCAGATCCTCAGAAAGAAAGGCTGCTGAGAACTCGCCCTCCATCCCCAGGAAGACTTGAGGCTTGGTCGGGTGGGGTTACTGGCTGGTTAAGAGGCACTTAAGTGCTCTGCTTTCTGGACAGCACATGCATTAGCAGATCCATTATGCAGGAAGCTCTGGCTCCCGGCTCTGCCTTCCCCGAGCTCTCCTCTCTGTGTCCCCAAGGATGCAGCTTCTGCACATTTCCAGGAGGAGGGGGAGGCCTTGCTCAAGGTCACCCAGTCCAGGAAAGGAAGGGGAGGAGAGCTCCATGCCTCCCTGCTCCTGTCAGGGGTTGGCTGCTCCTCCGGTTTAGGGCAGGCATTAGGTTGGGGCCATGGGCAGGTACAAACCAGGCCAGAGGAGCCCACGCTCATTCCACATTGGCACCTGCCCCTCAGTAGACCTTTGGGAGATAAAGGCACCCATAGGGCTTCCCAGGGGAGGTTGCAAAGTGGGAGCAGGCCTGAGACAGAGGGTCATGGAAACAATGGGGCACTTGTACATGTGGGGCCCAAGGCATGCGTGCCAAAGCCAGCCGGGGGCTGCCAAGAGCCAGAGGAAACCAAAGCAAAGGTTAGGAATGTTCCCAGGGCTTCAGGGCCAGCAGCCTGCACTATGCCAAGGGAGGGATTGCCAAGGGAGGGGGAGCACAGTAGGGGAATAGTGGCCTCTAGAGTCCAGGGTTTGGGCAGGTCAGAAGAGAAAGTTCCCGGGCAGGAAGGGTGGGCAGTACTGCTTCCAGTTCTAGGAGTTGTTAGAGGTATAAATTACCACTCACTTCTGGCAGACTGGACTAGGCCAGGCGCGCCCAGGGCACAGGCCTTCTGGGCCCTCTGCAATAGGTCAGAGGGTGTGTGAAGAATGTGACTTGTTTAGACAGGGTGTTTCTCAGCCTCGCTCTTGGCATTTTGGGCTGGATACTTCCTTGCTGTCGGGGGCTGTTGGAGGCTGTCCGGTGCATCTGGGAGTATTGAACAGCATTCTTGGCCTTTGACCACTAGATACCAACAGCACCCACCACCCAGTTACAACACAATGTCCCCAGACCCTTGCCAAATGCAACTGAAGAATTTCCCCTGTACCCTACTGAAAACCACTGGTTTAGAGAGATATAGAGGCCATGTTCTAGAAACTTTTAGGAGGCCCAGGGTGATGTGTCTGTGACAGGCAGCTCCTCACCCACATCTCCCAAGCACCTGAGCTCTAGGTCCAGCACTACCACAGTGCTTCAGCATTGAGGGAACACTTCTTCCTTTCATCCTGATTTTGATGTGCTTGCATTTTGCCATTTGCTCATCCCTCAGGGATGCACACGCCCCTTTCTTGTCTCTGTACCTTTGATTGGTACGTCAAACGTGCAATGTCCCACTGTTTTCATGATTTGGCTTTTTTTTTTTTTTTTTTTTTTTGGTGGTGGTGGTGGTACTGGCATGAATGAGAGATGCTACACCCCCAGCCCTTTCTTATTTTATTTTGTAAAAGGGTCTTGCTAAATTGTAGAGATGGGCCTTCAACTTGAGATCCTCCTGCCTCAGCCCCCCGAGTCACTGGGATTACAGGTGTGTGTCACCACATCTGTGATTTAGAGTGCATCATCTTATTTATTTTTCTCTTATTTGTTTTTACGGTGCTGGGTAAAGAACCCAGGGTCTTGGGCATACGAGGCAAGTGCTGTATCCCTGAGCCATGCCCACAGCCCTAGCGTGGGTCTTGATGGTTAGAAAGGAAACTCCTTATTCATTGTTCTCTCAAAATGTTCTTCCCTACTCATTTGCGATTTCTTTTACAGATGGAAATGATTTTTTTAAAGTTTTATCCTTATTAACAATACCAGAGGCCCGGGTCAGAAAACTATGGCCAATGGGCCAAATCTGTCCTGCCACCTTTTTTGTTTCAATAAAGTTTTATTGGAACACAGTGGGACTCATTCATTTACATACTGTCAGTGATCACTTGTGTGCTACAATGGTAGTGTTGAGTAGATGTGACAGAATCCCTGGGACTTGGGAAGACTAAAATCAGGCCAGCTTCATGGGCATTCTAGGTGCCCAGGCACATAAACAAGGCCCTGCCCTGGGGCCCCACAAGGACTCTGAAGGGCCCACATTTGGTTTGATCTCTGCTGTTGCCATCTTGAAATTCTTAATAGTTTTGAACAAGGAAATCACGTTTTCAATTTACACTGGGCCCTGCAAATTAGTTTTTTTGTTTTCCTTTTTTGTTTGTTTGTTTTTTGGTGGTACTGGGAATTGAACCCAGGGCGTTTTACTACTGAGCTACATCCCCAGCCCCTTTTTATTTTTATTTGAGACAGGGTCTCAATAGATTGCTGAGGCTGACCTTGAACTTGTTGTCCTCTTGCCTCAGCCTCCCATGTCGCTGGAAATATCGGTACATAGCGCCATCCCTGGCTTGTAGCTGCTCTTGTGTATTTACTATTTGTACCTTTAGAGAAGTTTGTTGACCCTTGGGTTAGAGTCAACCAGATCTACAAGGTTCCTTGAGCCTAATAAACGCCCTGCCCTCTCTGCTCTCTGAAGGCAATGACTTCAGTTGTTTAGCTGATTCTTTTAGCATTTATCTCTATATCTCCAAATAACATGCTATATTTCTACTCAGGAGATAGGATTACCTACGACTCAGCTCCCATTCCTACCCCATACCATGACCCAGAGGTGACTTGTGCGTGAGCACACAGCACCCACCCGCCACTCTCTCATGTTATCAATTTGAGTATTTATATCCCTACGACTAAAAAGGGATATATTTGGAGAGTTGGGTCTTAAAATAAACTATGAATCTTTTTTTCCCCTACATACTTTTAGCTTTCCCTGGAGTAAAAAATTATCTTGTTTTTTCCTTCCTTGTTTTTCTGTGCCTTGTCATTAACTCGATCCCAACCCCTCAGCTACTAGTTCATGTTAGGTGTTTGACCAACTCTGTCCTTTTGGTGATGCCTCTCTCAGAGCTGCCTGGTGCGTTCCAGTCTAGACTGTTGCTATGTCCCCACAGCCCACTGTTGTCCTTCGTCATCCTCCTGGAGGCTCCCTCCATCCTGATTCTGTGTGGGAACCCGATTCCTGAACTCATGCTTTCCTCTGTCTTGGCTTCTCTCCTGTTTAGGTGGAGCCTTTCCAGTACCACAGCGAGACTCAGTCCTAGGCTGTACCTTGGCCATCTAGTGGAGCTCTAGATTTCTATGTTCAGTCCCCAACCTCAGAGAGTCTCCTTTAACTGGCCTGGGGTAGGAAAAGACCATTCCAATTGCTAATGTGTGTCTGCGTCTGTGTGTATGTGTGTGTGTGTGTGTGTGTGTGTGTGTCTATGTGTCTGTGTGTCTATGTGTGTGTGTCTGTGTGTCTATGTGTCTGTGTGTCTGTGTGTCTAGGTGTCTCTGTGTGTGTCTATGTGTCTGTGTGTCTGTGTGTGAGTCTCTCTGTGTGTGTCTGTCTGTGTGTCTGTGTGTGTGCTATGTGTCTCTCTGTGTGTCTATGTGTCTCTGTGTGTGTGTGTGTGTATGTCTGTGTCTCTCTGTGTGTATGTGTGTGTGTGTGTCCTTGTTTTTCTCTGGAAGCACATAGAACCATCTTGTCCCCAGAATTCTAAAATTTCTTGATGATGTGCTTTGATATGACTTTGTTTCCACCTTTTTGCAGGTAACTGGTGGGCCTTTGAATCTGGAAACTCAAGTCCTTTGTTTCTGGAATATGTTTTTGATTTTTTTCAATCAATGACTTTTTCCCTTTGTTCTCTCTTTCTGGAACTCTTATTATTTGGATGTTGGATTTCTAAGACTGTGCTCTAGTTTTCTTAAATTTTCTCTCCTCTTTTACATCTCTCTGTTTGCTCTTGTTTTAGGAAAATTTCTTTAACTTTATGCTCTAGCCATGTCATTGTGATTACATTTCTTTTTCATTTCTAATATTTAGTTTTTAATTTTTACAAGTTCCTTTTCTTCTTGGAATCCCCCCACCCTGCCTAGTGTCTTTTCCATAATTTCCTGTTCTTGTTTCTTGGATGAGGTCACTGTCTTATCAATCTGGAAATATTAGTACAACATTTTTGGAAAGTTTTCTTTTCCCTGCACACTCTTGGTTTACATCCAAGTTGACTTTATTCTATGAGCTCTTTTGGACCTCCTTCTGCCTTTGTTTGTTTGCTTTCAATGTGGGGGATTGAACTTGAGGCTCCTGCATGCTCAACACATGCTGTTACTAAACCACATGCCTACTTAAGAGTAAACAGACTGAAAAACTGAGGTCCGGAGATGTGGCTTTCTGATCTGTTTTGTTACAGGATACTCTGGCTGGGCTACTTTACCGGGGGCAACCCTGATGTCAGCATTTTTATTTTTTCCCCTCTGGGACTGGGTCATTTTCCTGGGAAGCTTTTCCAGCCTGCTTACTAGAGGGTAAAGGCTGGCTGCCAGGCTTCTGGGAACCAAGTGGGAAAGCAGGAGTCTTATGCCCATAATGGATGTGGTCTCTCGATGCCTCAGTCCCTCTCCTTCCCCAGCAATATCTTTGATGATGCAGAAAATAAAATCCCAACACAAACAGCAACTCCATCACCAAGGTCCCTGAAACTGCCTTCTAACATCTCACGGTGTGGCCACTTCTCCCATATCACCCAGTCCAAGTGATATGTACTGGGTGGCTCAGGGCCTTCCCCTCCCTACTAGACCTTGATACAACCACCTATCTCTTACCCACCCCTGTCTTTTCTGTGCCCAGGAACCAGGGTGGCTCTTTCATGTGACTTGCTTAAACCCCTTCCCTGACTTCCATGCCCTCAGGACAGCGTAGCTCCTCCACTAGCACCCACCCCTCCGCAGTCTGGCTTCCTACCTCCTTCACCTCCTCCTTTCAGCCCTTCCTTCCCCCTCACCCATCCCAGCTCCTCTCCCTTTAAGACACAGCCCCTTTATTACCTCCTCTCAGAGCCTCCTCAGGTTCTAGCCTTTGTGGCTCTAAGATTGCCTGCTCTCCCTGGAGACCCTGAAGGGAAGGTCTGTGCCTCTGTCACGCCATTGCAAGTGCCCAGCACCTGGCACCCAAGATTTGCTGAGCTGAACTGGACTGTGGAGGTCATTGTGTCTTGCATCTCTGGGGAGCTTTGCTAGCTGCAGGGGTAGGGTGGGGCTTGACCTTCCCACTGACCCCATGGAGCCAGCCACCTGGACAGTGAGCTGGGTCCCTGTCAGCATGTACATCTCACTGCTTCCAGAACCACCACAGCCCATTCTGTGAAGAGCAAAGATGGAGGCATTACCCCTCAGGTGTGCAGGATGCTGAGTGTGACTCCCCAAACCACCCTGTAGGAACACAAAGCAGAGGCCTTTCCCAGAGAGGAGGCTGCCCTGCCCAGGCGCCTCCTCCTACAATGACCACTGCTCAGTCCATTTCCATCAGGGTTCTAATGGGCAAGGTCAGGGAGCAGGAGCCCTCACTATGATGGGGTTTCTGGTAAGTAGGATCGGGCAGGCTGTCACATGGGGTAGGAGCAGCATTCACGGAGCACTAGTCTGGAGTTAGGCATTTGGTACTTGTCCACTCACTCCTGGAGGACATTGCCATCTCCATGGTTTAGCACAGAGAAGGAAACTCCCTACATGCCTTGCTGGAAGTACACAGCCAGAAAGTGTAAAGCATTAAAACCCAGGACTCTCCAGCTCCAACTACACACCATGCTGCCTCCCTCGCACAGGGGAAACAGCAAGAGTCCTCTGGCTCTGCAGGAAAATTCGCTGTGTGATAGTAGATGAGCTCCCTAGCCTCTCTGTGCTGCCCTGGAGGAGGTTTCGAGAAGGCAGTGGAGCAGGTACCCTTGCAGGTAGAGTTTGTGGAGCATTGCTTTAGAGCCCTGAGGATAGATAATGCAGAGCACCTCCTTATTAGGCTAATGGATTCCAGAGCCCCAGTACTGGGTGGGTCAGGGGGCATTATTGGGTGCCCTGCACTAGCAGTCTCTGTGGACCCCTAAAGGGGATTGTTGGGGCACCTGGGCATGACTCAGCAGCCTCTTCTCTGGTTTATTTTCCAGTAACTGGTGCCCTTACCAGCAGTCCAGACTGGTCACCTATGTTGCTGCTTGCAAAACGGAGAAATTCCTGGTCCATTCACAACAGCCATGTCCAGTGGGGGCTCCAGACTGCCAGAGAGTCAAAGTCATGTGAGTTGGGGCAGGCGGGCTGTTTGCATGGCCCCTGTGGGCTCCCTTTGGAGTCGCTGAGCCACCCTCCTCCCCCAGGTACCGTGTGGCCCATAAGCCGATATACCAGGTGAAGCAGAAGGTTCTGATCTCCATGGCCTGGAGGTGCTGCCCAGGCTTCAAGGGCCCCGACTGTCAGCATCACGGTAGGGCTCCCCGCCTTCCTTGGCTCCAGAGGTCCTGCAGTTCCTCTGGCCTCCAGGGTCAACATTCCATGCTTCCTTCTGCAGATCCCACAGCAACCCCGGAGCCTGCAGAACCAAGGAATGACCCCCAGAAGCCGTGGGACCAGTTGGTCAACTTCGAACTTGGTGTGTTGCTTTCCTGGAAGGTGCAGGTCGGGCAGAGTTCATGTGTCCCTTCCTTCCTCCCCTCGAGACAGTGCCTTTTAAGGAAAACTTTGGGCCTGGAATCAGAAAGGGCCCCCTTGTTCCTTGCATGCTCTTCCCCAGGAGGCGGGGCCTGAGCACACATCTCCTTTTCCTGGACCCCATTTTCTGTGAGACAGTGTTATCTGGCACCTTCCTTGACCTCTGAACTACACAAGCTCCTGGGCCTGGAAGACACCTCCTCACCCTCTCCCCTACCCTTAACCAGGGCCAGAAAGTTATGTCATCTCTGGTCTGTGCAGTCAACACAGGAGGGCCACCAAGAGATATCATTTGTGGTGTCTTTCAAGGCTGGGCCCAAGGGTGGGATGGGCAATGAGTTTCATCCTGTGATGAACTCCTGTCAATTGACAGGGAGCACAGAGAATGTCATTGTAGCTAGGGGAGGAAATATGCTGGGATTGACTAGTCACGTCTGCTGTGGATGTGGGAAGGAAGGTGAGAACTCAGTTGTCATGCATTTGCCTTTCTGGGGTTGAAGTCTTCTAAGTTCCAGCTCAGAGATTGTTAGCATGCACCTCCCCTCCCTTGCTTTTGGCTCCCAAATCCTCACTGGACTTCATGATCTGCCTAAGCCTGGCAAGTTAGGCTTCAACACCTGTGTCTGCTGTGTATTCAGGCCACCCCACTGCAGAGCTCAACGAGGTAGAGGAGGTCGATGTCCAGGTGCAGCATGAACAGCAGGAACACCTACTGGAAGATCTCCAGAATGATGTTGACCAGGCAGCAGACAGCCTCCCTGGGCTGTGGAAGGCTGCAACAACAGAGACATCTGCAACCACACAGGCAAATCAAACGGAGCTGGGTGAGTAGCAGGTTCTAGAGAAGGCCCGGATTTCAGAGGCCCTGCTAGTCCTCACTGGGGAGGGCTGTCTGTTGCTGTGGGCTTATGTAAACACATGCGTCTGTTGCAGAGTTTCCTGGCAGGTCCTTGGAGCAAGTGCTGCTGCCCCACATGGACACCTTCCTGCAAGCACATTTCAGCCCTATCTGGAAGAGCTTCAACCAGAGCCTGCACAGCCTCTCCCAGGCTGTAAGAAACCTGTCTCTTGACGTAGAGGCCAACCGCCAGGCCATCAAGAGGGTCCAGGAGAGTGCTGTGGGCAGAGCAGAGTTTCAGGAGCTTGGTGCCAAATTTGAAGCCAAAGTTCAAGAGAATGCCCAGAGAGTGAGCCAGCTACGCAAGGATGTAGAGGACCACCTGCACACCCAGCACCTCTCCCTGCAGCACTCCCTGTCTGAGGTCCAGGCTGATGTGGATACCAAGTTAAAGCACTTGCTCAAGATCCAGGAGTCCCCAGGGGCTAATGGCAGCCTGGTGATGGCAGCAGCAGGGGCAGCAGCAAAGCCAGAGCCAGAGAGCCTGCAGGCCAGACTGGGCCAGCTGCAGAGAAACATCTCAGCCCTGCATGTGGCCACCAGCCAGAGGGAAGAAGAATTGCAGAGCACCCTCAGGGGCATGAGGGCCACCCTGGCCCAGCATGTGGAAGAAATCAAGGAGCTATACTCTGAGTCGGATGAAACCTTTGATCAGATCAGCAAGGTGGAGCGGCAGGTGGAGGAGCTACAGGTGAACCACACAGCTCTGCGAGAGCTGAGAGTAATCCTGATGGAGAAGTCTCTGATCATGGAGGAGAACAAGGAAGAGATGGAGCGACAGCTCCTGGAGCTCAATCTCACCCTCCAGCACCTGCAGGGCGCCCATGCCGACCTCATCAAGTACATCAAGGACTGCAATTGCCAGAAGCTCTACTTTGACCTGGATGTCATCAGGGAAGATCAGAAGGATGCCACTCGCGCCCTGGAGGAAACCCAGGTGAGCCTGGATGAGCGGCGCCAGCTGGACGGCTCCTCGCTGCAGGCCCTGAGGAGCGCCCTGGATGCTGTGACTCTGGAGGTGGATGTGCACAAAGAGGAGGGCAGGCAGGCGCGGGCCGAGAGGGCCAGGCTCCGCAGCCAGCTGCAGGCGCTGGATGGCCAGGTGGGCGCGCTGAAGACAGGCGCGGACCAGACCCGCCGCGAGATAAGCCAGCTACACAGCTCCTTCGCAGCCCTGCTGGAAGACGCACTGCGCCACGAAGCTGTGCTGGCCGCGCTCTTTGGTGAGGAGGTGATGGAGGACATGTTAGAAGAGGCGCCTGGCCCGCTGCCCTTGCGTTATGACCAGATTCGTGTCGCCCTGCAGGAGGCTGCCAGTGGGTTGCAGGAGCAGGCGCTCGGCTGGGACGAGTTGGCGGCCCGGGTGGCAGCTCTGGAGCAGGATGCAAGTCACCGCTCAGAGCCTTCAAGGCGGGCAGAGCACCTGGAGCCCAGCCACGATGCCCAGCTGGAAGATGCAGGAGCCACCACCGCCATGGCTGGGCTGGAGCAAGAGCTCCAGCGCCTGAGCTCCCAAGTCAAGCGCGTGGGGCAGTGCTGCGATGCCTCCTGGGCTGCCTCCCTCAATGGCTCCCTTGAGGGCCTCCACCACGCCCTCTCCACCACTGAGCGTGGCTTGGAGCAGCATGAGAGGCTCTTCCACAGCCTCTTTGGGAACTTCCAAGGGCTGATGGCAACCAATACCAGCCTAGACCTGGGGAAGCTGCAGGCCATGCTGAACAGAAAAGGGAAGAAGGAGCAGAAAGGTGTGGAAACTCCCAGGAAGAGGGACAAAAAGCAAGTGGCATCTTGGGTGGATGCACATGCCAAAGGACTGGAGCAAGATGCCCTGGGCACAGAGCTCTGGGAGGCAGGTGAGTGCCTGGGTTGGGAAGTCTGAGCAGGTCTAGAGGACAGTGTTGTCTGACAGCCCAGCAGCTGGTCTACCCTGGAGAGGGACAGGATGAAAGAAACCAGGTTGGTCATCAGTCACCACTACCCACCTTCTCCTTGATTCACCTTCTTTCCTCTTAAGCTCTCTGGAGTACAGGCAGGTAAAAGTCATGAGAATAATTGTTGGTGTCAAAGCCCTTGATCTGGCGACAGTGCCACTTCCATGTTAAACCATTAGAGGCTCTACACACGGTTGGCTGAGTCCCAACTGTGGACAGAGGGGGAGGGCCTTTCTTCTTTCCATGGCATTCCCTCAAATTCCTTCATTTCAGCTCTTCACAACCCTGTCACCCCCCACTAACCAGCTTACCCTGGTATAGGAATTGTGATGGGGCTGCAAATGGCAGCACCCAACAAGAAGGGAATGTAGGAAGAAGCCTTGGGCCCTGAAAGCAGTCCATATTCAGCAAGTCCAGTTGGTCTATTTCATCACTCTGTGCCAGGCCCCTGTAATGCCCTTCTTGGACTTTTTTTTTCCAATATTGGGGATTGAACTTTGGGGGTACTCTACTCAGTGGTACATCCTCAGTCCTTCTTATTTTTTGAGATAGTGTCTTGGTTAGTTGCTCAGGCTGGCCTAGAACCTACAATCTTCCTGCTGCAGCCTTCTGAATAGCTGGGATTACTGGTGTGTACCACCATGCCCGGCTCCTTCTTGGGCTTTATCATGATGAATCATCACAGTAGCTCAACAATCCATTCACTATCATTACCATCTTACCTGAAACCAAGGCTCAAACCCAGAAAGTGACTAGCTCACACAGCTGAAGAACATCACAGAGAAGCTGTCTCTAGGGTGCTGATTTTCCCCTTCTGGGGCTCTTGAAGGTTGGTTTCTGCAGGGCCCCAGGCTCTAGGTCTACAAGCTTGCTCTGAGTTTGAGGCCAATATTCCGACCTTTCCCTGAGGGTGGATCTGTGTTTTAAGTGATTCTATCTTTCAGATAATCTAGCTTTGGCATTGGGGCCCCTTCCTCATCCAGTCACAGGGCTAAGTATAAAGCCATCATCATGGCTGCCTATACCCTGGAATAGGCTGGTGAGCAGAAAGTATGAACCTTGCTGAAGGTCCATCTCAGCCCATGCTGAACAGAAAAAGGAAGAAGGAGCAGAAAGGTGTGCAAACCCTGCTGCCCTCCATTAGAGCCCAGGAGGAAGTGTGGAGCCGTGGAAAGAGCTCACGCTCTCATCACTTGTCTCAGTTTCTTACTCTGTAAAATGGGACAATCACTACTTGCATCAAAGAGTTATGAAGACTAACAGCTACATCTTCCAAATACCTAGCACAAGACCCAAGTGTCTTTTCCACAGCATTTTCGCAGCTGAGGCTGTGTCCACTTCCACTACTTCTTCCATATTGTTTTCCTCTTGTGAGTGGCTCAAGGTCTTTATACTGATGACATTCAGCTTTTGCTTAGTGATTTCTGGATCTGTGTTTACCATTGCAGTATTTTGTTATTTCAAAATATATTTTTCCTTTAAAAAGCCCCTTTATTTGTCTTACAGAAAGTCCTTAGGACTTGGATTTGTGCCCCACAGGGACATGCACAACCCTTCCACCAACATGAAGGGCATGTTGGGATTTTTAGCTCTAAAGTGAATGAACTCCCAGGAACAGCAGGGTGAGAGAGGACCCATTACCGGTAGAGGGCGTTGTCAATCATCTCTTTATCAACTGGGCAAGAGCCCCACCTTCTGGGTACTTGCGGAACTGCAGCGCCAGCCGCCTGTCTTTCCTTGGCATAGTTACTCTTCCAAGCTAATTGTTAGAAAAATCTTCCAGAATTAGAGAAAAGAATAATTTTATTATTGCTGGACTGGGAGTCACAAATCTGGGTTCTAGTTCAGGAGCCTAAGTCACTAACTGTTATGTGAGGACTTGGTTTCTTTCCTGAAAAATGGGGAGCTTAGTCTCAAATTCTCTCTCTTCCCCAGAGAAAACATATTGAAAAAAAAAAAAACACAAGGAGGGCTGAGCTTATGGCTCAGCAGTAGACCACTCCCCTAGCACGTGCGAGGCTCAGGGTTCAATCCTCAGCACCACATATAAATAAGTAAAATAAGGGCATTGTATCCAACTACAACTAAAAATTAAATATTCTTAAAAAAAAAAGTGATGCCAAGGTCACAGCAGGGTCTCGAGTGGACACAGTACATTTATTTATTTATTTATTTATTTATTTATTTATTTATTTATTTATTTATTTTTATGTGGTGCTGAGGATTGGACCCAGTGATTCACACGCTCTAGACAAGTGCTCTAACACTGAGCTACAACTCCAGACCTCCTGTCCCATCTTGTGGTTCTGTCCTCTTGTCACTCAACCTCCCTGGCTGGGCAGCCAGCAGGCTCCTTCATCCCTGTACACATGACTTCCTCTGTCTCCAAGCTTGTGTGTGGGCCTGGTGTCTCCAGCAGGACTATCCTCCTAAGCCCAGAGAAATTGTTTCTGCAAATGAGGAAAGCAGGAACAAAACCAAGATATCTGAGGTCTGCTCACAGCATCGTAATTTATTGGTTGTGTGATCTGAAGCTACAAGTTGTCTCTTTCTGGGCCTCAGTTTCTCCATCTGTAATCTCTGTGCAGCACTTTGGAAACCACACTGAGAAGGCCAGTTGAAGGAGGCTTCTGTTTCCTTCTTGCTTTAAGCTCCTGTGCCCACATACAATAGGAAACACCTTCACTGCTTCTCAGTTATCTTGAGGAAACTAAATTATTCTCTTTCCCCTTGGTGTCAAGATTCCTCAAAGGTAGAAGTCATCTGGGAGTCATTCCTGTCTCAGCCTGCCATTTGCAAACCATATCTCCTTGAGCAGCCAGCTAAAGATTAAGCCTCAGTTTCCTTCCTCAGGGACTCTTTTCTCTTAAGAAAGTTGTGAGAAAATGGATCAAACCAGAAAGTGCTTAGTTAAGCTAGGCATGGTGGCTCAGACCTAATCTCAGGGACTTGGGGGTTAAGGCAAGAGGATCACAAGTTTTGAGGCTGGTCTTGACAACTTAGTGAGACCCTCAAAATTTAAAAAAAATATTTTTAAGGGCTGGGGATGTAATTCAGTGGTAGACCACTGCTGTGTTCAATCCCCAGTACAACAACAAAAAAAGTGCTTTATTGAAATGTACATTAGTCAGACAATGGATTTATAGTTCCCCTTCTCCCTCATTCTCTGAGATCATATAGCTGTTAGGAATAGTTAGGTTGTCTAGAAATAGTGACCTATTTCTAACACCAATAAGATAAGGAAGGCATATTGTCATCTATCGGAGCTGCCAACCTATGCTGGTTCACAAAATCTGACTACTTCAATACCTTAAGAAAACAGCGAAGAAAGCACGCAAGCACACAGAAGTACCTTTTCAAAATCCCGGGACAGCTCTGTGACCTTAGGGGTCTGTGGAAAGAGAGAGTCACTGGAATTCTTTATTCTTATATAGGGGACACACAAGGGGAGGTTCCATGGAACATTCTATCCATAAAAAGGCAAAGGGTAAGATTGCAAAGGAACAAGGAGACAGCCCACAGTTGGGCAACGCCCACTCCCAGAGCTGCACCTTCTGTCCCAGCAGAGGCAAGTGCACTTCCATTGCAATAGGGGCAATACCAGTCCAGTACCTCTTTACTCGGGACTTAGAAGTCTGTGCGTAGCTCCTGTCCAAGGTGGCTCCCTACAAAGGCAGGTCTCAGCTTTTAATTTTTCACCCAAGGGATTGAAAGACCAAGTCACTGAGCACTCTTCCTCCTTCATTTCAGGCTCCCCTGTGGCCTTCTATACCAGCTTTTCAGAAGGTACAGCTGCCCTGCAGACGGTGAAGTTCAACACCATGTCCATCAATGTTGGCAGCAGCTACTTCCCTGAACACGGCTACTTCCGAGCCCCTGAGCGTGGCGTTTATCTATTTGCAGTGAGCGTTGAATTTGGCCCAGGCCCCGGCACGGGGCAGCTGGTATTTGGAGGTCACCATCGGACCCCAGTCTCTATGACAGGGCAGAGTGGGGGAAGCACAGCCACAACCTTTGCTATGGTTGAGCTACAAAAGGGTGAGAGGGTATGGTTTGAGTTAACTCAGGGATCAATAACCAAGAGAAGCCCACCAGGCACTGCATTTGGGGGCTTCCTGATGTTCAAGACCTGAAACCTGGGTACAACTCTCATCAGACATCAGGGACCTGCCTGCTCTTCTTGGCCTGAGGCCCCACCTGGCAATGATCTGGAGACCATCCAGCTGGCCTAGCTCTTCTCTGGAAACCCTCTACAAAAGACCACTTGATATCTAGTTCTGTGGTTTCCTCTAGATGCACTGGGTCGGGGTATTCCTCAAAGAGGAGGAGAGAGAGACTGCTTCTCTCTGGGCAGGGCCTTGTCCTGGAAGTGTGAACCTCGGCTCCAACTGCCTTCCTGAGAAGTATGGTTTGGACTCTGGCTCTTGGCCATACCCTGCATTCTACAGACTTCTTTGGTATTTTGCTCTTCCTATTACTGGGAACTTTTATACACTTTAAACCTCTCTTCTGCTTCCTCTTCTCCCTAATTATATGCTAGAAAGTCATTTTTTTTTTCCCAGAAGGAATGTCAAAAATGGAGGTGGTGGGATGGATATACCTTAGTGGTAGACTACTTGCCTCGAATGCATGAGGACCTGGGTACAGTCCTCAGAATTGCAAAACAAAAAAGCAGAGGTGACATTTAAGCCAAAATTGGAACCCAGTCTTCAGCTGTTACAGGACAAGATAAAACCAACCCTTTTGGTCTCCATCAATTAGAAATGGAGCAAAGTCCTGTTGAGTTAATCAAGGGCAACAAAATCAGCATATTCGGCTTCAGTCATTCTTCGTCTTTATCTGTACCTATAATTTTAATTTCACATCCTTTTCTCCTAGACTTATTCAGGGTAAAGGCCAAAACATGCCAAATAGGAACTAAAATGTATGTAGCCTTCACTGTTTTTACTTCATCCAGTATACCATGACTGTACTACTTCTTAGCATCTCTAACCAGGAAGGGTGCTGAGGGAGGAAGAAGTGAAGGAATAAAATCTCCCTCGATGATGATCAACTTTTGAATAAAGTGATGCCCTTCAAATCTCTGCCTCATTTACTTTTTTAGTATTTATTTTTTAGTTGTACACAATACCTTTATTTTGTTTATTTTTATATGGTGCTGAGGATCGAACCCAGGGCCTTGAACGTGCTAGGTGAATGCTCTAGTGCTGAGCCACAACCCCAACCCCTGCCTCATTTACTTTTGGAGAGAGAAAACATTTGGCAAAGTACGTGGAGATATGGGACAACAATGAGACTGTGTGAGGTCAATGTGATTCTCATTATTCTAGGCCCAGTTTGATTTCAGCAATTTCAGTTAATTTTACATGAAATAGACAGTGGCTTCCATACTGGGCTATGACATTGATACCAGACAGTATAGCAAAGAAAAGCAATTATTCCTGCAATATAAACATGTAGTTTTCAAAAATTTTCAGATCCTAGAGGAAACAGCCTTGAGAAAGTAGTCATCAGTTGTCAGAAAATAGAGTGGAATTTTGGGGGGTAATATTCAATATTTGTTGAATATTTTTTAAACTTTTTAAAATATATCTTTATTTTGTTTATTTATTTTTTTTGTGGTGCTGAGGATCGAACCCAGGGTCTCACACGTGAGAGGCAAGTGCTCTACCGCTGGGCCACAACCCCAGCCCCAATATTTGTTGAATATAGTCTTTACAAGAAAATCAGATTGGACTGGGTAATAAGTTGGTTGTGTTAACAAGGTTTCTAGTATGCCTTGTAATTTCCCTGGAGTCATTCATTCAAATTTCCCCTCAGAATTTATTTGCCAGAAAGCTTTATAAACTCAATTACTAAAATGTTAAAATTTTCCAGGCTACTCTGCCACTGATGGTTTGACTTTTGGTAAATCACAACTCTTCAAATCTTTGTCTTCATAGTTGAGGTGAGCAATCTAACAGCTCTCTCATTAAGTATTCTTGACCTTGACCACAGGTTGAATCTTGCTCACCTCCAATGAAGCTCTAAGTTGCCAAGGCCATTCCTGATCCTGGGTATAAGTAGTTGGGCCACGGCAGGTCCAAGACTATAGTTCCTGAAGGATGTCACTCCTGCTGCCAGCCAGACCAACCTGTCTTGGATCTTCCTGTTGCTATTGAGCAGGCTCTGCTGATAACTAAAACTGAAACATTAGGCAGTGTGGTCTTACTCTTTAAGACTTCCATTTGGATTTATTACACATAATAAGCAGAGTGAATTAATCTTGTCCATAAAGGGTGCCTGTCCTCCAACTTCAGAGGATAAGTGCTCTTCAACAGGAAGGTTGTAAATAAAAGCTAACCTGGCTAACTCTGCCAGCAGCATTGTATCAGACACTCCTGACATTTCTAGAATCATGGTTCTTTTAGCTAAGGTGCCTTCCATACAACAAAACATATGTGATTGCACATCATAAAACCTTAAGTACAAATTTTCTATTTACACAGTTCTATGATTAGAAACCTAGGTCAGCAAGAAACCTTAACTTCCTCTGAGAATTTCTTACCTCTGCTGAGGTAACTAACTCTGGGTAGAGACTTTCTCAGTGCCCTTCCAGGGAGACCCTTGTGACCCAGGCTAATGTTAAAAACTCCTTACTTGAGCCCCAGAACAACACAAGGGTCAAACACACAGTGGAACTTCCCCAAACCTGGAGCAGGGGAAGATCATAAAAATATTTTTAAAATATTGCAAAGCAGGAAAGGGTACCATAAGCACATAAAGACATTTTAGTAAAAAAAAAAATTTTTTAGGGGTGGGGTACTGGGAATTGAACTCAGGAGCACTCTACCACTGAGCCACATCCCCAGCTCTATTTTGTATTTTATTTAGAGACAGGGTCTCACTGAGTTGCTTAGTGCCTTACCTTTTTGAAGGCTGGCTTTGAACCCTCCATCTTCCTGTCTCACCCTCCTGAGCTGCTGGGATTATAGATGTGTACCACAGCGCCCAGCCATTGTAGTAATTTCCCCCCCCAAAAAAAAGAAAAAAGAAAAGAAAAGAAAAAAACATAGAAAGGATCAGACAGAAAATCTCAAACACTTGAGATTAATGGAGAGATGGGAATGATTTCAAACTCAAACACAGCCCCTATACTTGGGTTCATGGGGCAGAATAAGAACCCAGAACAGGACGACTGCTGACCCTCTGGAGGCAGGGAACTGCTGCCCCAAACAAGTGTGACCACATTGGAGTCAGGACCTGTAGGGGTCAATGCAGAATATGTCTCCCCACACCAACATGTCATGTTAAAATAACTTCTGTCCTTTACTTTTATTTCAGGAACACTGTAAGGAGGGTATAGTCTGTAAGAAGTATTTTTTTTTAGGCTGGGGTTAAGGCTTAGTGCTACAGTACTTGCCTAATATGCACAAGGTCCCTGGGTTCTATCTCTAGCACCACACACCTGTGTGCACGCGCACACACACACACACACACACACAAAATTTTTTTGTTATGGTTTAGATCTGGAATGTCCCCCAAAAGGAAGTGATGTGAAAACACGGCTTCAAAGGCAGCAAGGTTTTAGAAAATGATTATATATTTAGAAAATGAGCTATAACTTCATTGGTGGATTAATCCATTTGCTGGATTAACAATGGACTACAGTGTGGTAGCTATAGGCAGGTAGAGCATGGCTGGAGGAAGTAGGTCACTGGGGCATGCCCTTGGTGATTGTACTTGTCCCTGGCTCCTTCCAGCTCTTTCTGCTTCCCAGTTGCCAAGAACTGAGCAGCATTTCTCCCCTATGCTCTTTGACAACAATGTTCTTCCTTCTCTCAGGCCCAGAGCAATGGAGCCAGTTGACCATAGACTGAACCTCTGAAACTGAATAAGAGAGGATAGGTAATGGACCCCAATTAAGTTTTTCCCCAAATGTAAAGACTGCTCCTTGAAAATAATCTGTAGATACATTCTAGCCATGCTTTTGTCCCAGAGCAGTGGAAAAACTGCAGTTGGGGTCTGAGTCGGCTCAGTGATAAAGCACTTGCCTAGCATGTGTGAGGCACTAAGTTCAATCCTCAGCACCACATAAAAAAATAAATAAATAAAATAAAGTTAAAAACAAAACAGAGGTTGGGGCAGACTTGAATGGAGGTTACAGGAAAGTTCAAACTCAAGTTCTGAAAGGGCACAGCCAATTAGGTCACAGGCCATACCAATATCTCTGGAACTTTTCCAAGACCTGATTATTATCTATGCAGATATTGATCAGTGCCCCCACTCAATAGCTATATAAGCCCCTAGACTAGGACATTTAAACAGCAACCTGCTATCAGGTCTCCTCTCACTCTGCAAGAGTTCTCTCTTTTCTCCACACTTGAATAAATTTTACTCCTTTCACTCTTGCCTTCCATCATTGTCTGTGGATTTCACTCTTTGAATTTGTGAGACAAGTACCCAGAAAGAAATTGGCAGTGAGCCTCTGAGGCCCACTGCAACACTGGAGGTAAGAGTGTACCATTAAGAGCCATGACATCTCCATCATGTGGGATTAGGCCCCAACTTCCTTAGTAAGACTCCTGTGGCACAAGAATTAAAATCAAGAATCAATAGATAGGATGGACTCAAACTAAAAAGTTTCTTCTCAGCAAAAGAAACAATCTGTGAGGTGAATAGAGAGCCTACATCCTGGGAGCAAATCTTTACCCCTCACACATCAGTTAGAGCACTAATCTCTAGGGTATATAAAGAACTCAAAAAGCTAAACATCAAAATAACAACTCAATCAATAAATGGGCCAAGGACCTGAAGAGACACTTCTCAGAAGACGATATGCAATCAATCAACAAATACATGAAAAAATGTTCATCATCACTAGCAATTAGAGAAATGCAAACCAAAACCACTCTAAGATTTCATCTCACTCCAGTCAGAATGGCAGCTATTATGAAGACAAACAACAGTAAGTGTTGGCGAGAATGTTGGGGAAAAAGGTACATTCATACACTGCTGGTGGGACTGCAAATTGGTGCAGCCAATATGGAAAGTAGTATGGAGATTTCTTGGAAAATTGGGAATGGAACCACCATTTGACCTAGTTGTCCCTCTCCTCAGTTTATACCCAAAGGACTTAAACAGCATACTACAG